GTTACCGTGTTGTGTGTAATACAGATGCTTTCAAGGGCCACCAAGGTCGGTAGGATTCTTGGTCTCCTCATCAGGAGCCAGGTCTGAGAGTGATTCAATCCCCTCAGTTTATGAAATGAACCTTTCCTGAGTCCTGACTTAAAAGTGTCTATCCTGGTGGGGTGGGGTGCTGAGGACACTGAGCTGCCCCTGTTGTGTCCAGCCAGTAGAAGTTATGAAGGTCCCATGCACCTGTGGTCGAGGTTGGTGCTTTCTGCCCACCTTTTCCCTTGTAAGATGGCAAAGCACAAAAGAAGTCCAGCAGCCACCCTGGGGTAAACAAAGGCTAAGCAATGTTAGAAGCTCCTATTTCAGCTGAAGAGGAGGTATCAATGGTAAAACTGGAAAGAGATTCTAGGGCTCTGATACCTGATCCAGGGCCTTTTCTATTTGCCCATATTGCTTTTAGAGATACTGGTCATAATAGATTTGCAGCCCATGGAAGGGAAATGACCAGCTACTGACCCAAAACAAGGATTGATCCCTTCTCTTCAGTTTGCTGGTCAGCAAGGGAAAAGGCATATAAAAAGCCTCTTATCTTTTGACTCTTCACATTTAAGAGTCTCCAAAGACTCCAAAGGTGATGTTATTAACACCTACCCATGGAAAGTTTGGCTAGAAGACATTAGATCATTGATTGGAAAATGGACATACTTTATTGTAGCCATGGAGGTAACATAGTATAGTGGGAAGAACGATGGATCTGGAAAAAGACTTGGGTTCAGATCCTGCCTCAGATATTTACTTAACTGTGTGACCCTGGGCAAGCCACTTAACCCTAACCGTAACTCTCAGTTTTTGTCTGTAAAGTGGAGATGGTAGTAGTATCTACTTAACAGTTGTGAGGATAAAATTATACACATACATATGTAAATATATATGTGTATATATATATATACATATATATGTGTGTGTGTGTGTGTATATATATATATATGTATGTATGTATGTATGTATATGTATGTATGTGTGTACGTATTGTTTTGTAAACTTTAAAGTGCTATGTAAATTCTATCCAAGTTTTCTTGCTTCCCTGTTTGGCTTAGCCCTGGCCTTAGTTAGTCCTGGAATACAGAGGCCAGAATCAGCCTCAGTAGACAATCTGCTCCCAAGAACAACTAGTGGTTTGATCCCTGGGTAATCTGTACCTTGCCTACTGTTTTAGGTAGGAGAGGGGTGAGAGATACTTGGCATCCTAGGAACTTGCCCAGCCCCTTTTAACAAAGAGTGATCTGACCTTGCAGACAGCAAAGAGTTGTCACCAGGCAAGAATCAATATTAAGTGATTAATAATAATAGTTAGCATTTATATAGTACTTTAAGATTTGCAAAGCACTTCACATATATTTAATCTTTACAATAACCATGTAAGGGAGGTATTATTATCCCTGTTTTACAGATAAGGAAACTGAGACAGACAGGTTAAGTGACTTGTCCAGGGTCACACAGCTAATATCTGAGACAATATTTCCTGACTTCAAATCCTGCTGCACCACCTAGCTGCCTCAATTAGTAACAGATTAAATAATTTATTGACATGATAGTTCGCATCTCTTTAGTGCTTTCAGGTTTACAAAGTGCTTTCTTCCTAACAACTCTGTAAAGGAGGGATTCTAAGTATCATTATCCTAATGCTTCAGTTGAAGAACTAAAGCTTGCAGAGGTCTGACAGAAGGCCACAGCTTGCAATGGGCCTTCCAACTTGAGAGCTGGTGTGTTCTATTCAGGATACCACTACAGCCTCCAAAATACAGATGCTCCATAGCTAAGAATGAGCTACCTTTCAATTCTGGGAATATAAGTAGTGTTGTCCTCTGTAGGCAGCTGTTCGCAGCTGGAGCAATGGAGACACAGAGGTTAAGTGACTATGCCATAGTCACTCGGTAACTGGCAGAGCTGGTACTCGAAGCCAGGTCTCCTAGCTCTCAAGCCAGGCAATCACACCTGGAATTCTCTCCTCCACCCTCACCTCTTGGAACCCGTACGCTTTCTTCAAGGCTCAGCTCAAGTGACATTTCCTTCAGAAAGCCTTTTTTCATTACCCCAGTAAGTAACTCTACTGACATCACTTCGTATTTTTCTGTGGAATGTATTCTATGCCCTTAGTAGAATGTAAGCTGATTGAGGGCAGGGAATGTCTCATTTTTCCATTTGTATCTTTAGCAACTAACATAGAAGAACATGGAACACAGAAGGTGCTTAAAAATGCTTGTTGGTTGTCTCATCTTTCCATTGTTAACATGATGTGTGCTCATTTCCTCTTTTGCTATTTGCAACTATCAGGAGTTTCAAGTTCTCAAGGTGAACAATCAGTTCAGAACAAACAGTTGTGGTGGGAAGTGAAATGAGCTTTAACTTCTTGACACAGACAACCCCAAATAGGTTTTTGCATTGATTTAAAATAAGACTTAAGAAGGTGCTTCTTTCTGACTTCCTCTAATTTATCTTCATGCTATTTATTTCTCAGTAATATATTAGCAAGTTAATCATATCAGATCATTTTTTCCTCAACGAAGCAACTATAAAACTTTGAGTTTGGAGCCAGATGTTTTTGATTGGGAATCTTCCCAAATTTCTCATCCTAGAACAAGGAAGACTCACTTTGTGGTTGGCAGTCAGTCCAGTAAGCCATAAAAAGTTTCTTAGTTGTGAAGGCAAGCAAGCTCCTATTGCTCAGTCTGAGTTACTAATGTCAAAACTCAAGTCTCCTGCTTTGTTGCTGAGTTTTCCTTAGGTATGAGGAACTGATGGTAGACATTAAGATAAGAAAATGTTGCTGCTCTTTGTTTTGACTACATGCCTAAAGATGGCAGGGATAATGATATATCTTTCTATACCATATAATGATTTGAGGATTCAGGAGTGCCCCAAAGGAAACCCAAAAATACCTTTGTGGTCAGAAAAGCCTAGTATTTAGACCCATAACCGGCAATATTGGTGACTGGGACAATTTAGTTGAGTAGGGGAAGAGGAGGAGTCCCTAGGACACCTATCAGTGGTGCAGATTTCGGAAGAGGGAGTGGAAGGAGGCCAGATTGGGCCATAGAAAAGGAGGGAGCATGTCATTTGGTTGTCAGGCCCCTCTAAATGTAGGTGCCCTGGAACAAAGCCTCATCGTTCTACCCTAATTATAGCTCTGCTGATTCAACCTTGATAGACTTTCTCTCTGGTTGTTTTTCCCATATGATCATCTTCATATCTAGTTTCCTTAAATTACCATAATCTTCCACCAGTCTACTTACTCCATCGGACATATACCTCAACTGAGAACCTCAGATACCTGTCTTTGTGGCAATGTATTTGTTTCCCAGAGTTTTCACCCCTGTTTTCCCTAAATCCTCCCCACCCTATTCCCCACACATACACTTAGATCAAAAGCGAAATGACTACAGGGCCATTTATCATCCTTCTATTTGATAATGTCAGTACTTCTCATTCACATTACATCTTTTATATTTAATATTGTCTTCACAATAACTCTGAGAGGTAGTTAGAGCAGCAAATAGATTTATCTTCATTTGAATCATAACAATAGCTTAAATTTATATAGCACTCTAGAATTGTAAAACTCTTTACATATATTATCTCATTTGATCAACAAACAACCATATGCAATAGGTTCCTAAGTATTTTTAACCCCATTATACAGATAAGTAAAGTGAGGCTCAAAAAGATCAAGGATTTCTGTTGTTGTTTCCCCAAGGCTACTTAACTGGCAGGGCCAGGACTCTGATCATTGCCCACTGCTCTGTCTACTACATTGCCTTATAGGGTACCTTGGCCTAAGCACCCAGGCTCTTGGGTGGCCTTGGAACCCTGGCAATCCAGGCTGGGAACAAACTGGGGGATGCAGAATATTTGTCTGAAGCATTTGAAACAAATGTGAGATGTTTGGCAAATGCAAACTCAGCCAAATTTCCCTGTCAGTCATCTGGACTGTAATGAATTGTTCTGGTTGGGTCAGAGGTACAGAGGTCTGCCAGATATGTTAACATAGAAATTCTCAGGAAGAGAGAGGCTTAAGAATGATGGAAAAGTCAAGGCGTGATGAACAGAGGGCCATATTCCTGAGTCAGGAAGACCAGGGTTCAGATCCCATCTCTGACACATATTGGTGACATAAATCCAGGCACGTCATTGAACTTCTTGGGACCCCAGGTACCCATCTAAGATGGTGGGCTGCAGAGCAGGTCCCAGTTTGCATTGGTGTGGGGAGTTTCCTAACTAGGAATTCCCTTGCACTGATGAAATCATGGGCCCACACCAAAAAAGAGACACTGACGCCTGGGATGAGGCAGGAAAAGCGTATCTCCCATGATAGCCTTTTTAACATACTGCTTTTCCCCTAGAAGAGACAGAAAGACAGAGGTCTGGGTTATGCTCAGTTTCCTCATCTATAAAATGGGAGAGCTGAATTAAATGGCCTCTGAGATCCCTTCTAGTTCTCCTCCTATGATTCTGTTTGTTGTTTCCTTGGTTAATTCTATTACTAATAATAGCTAGTAATAAAAACTAATGTTGATATAGTGCCTACTATATGTTGGGCATGAGCTAAGTGTTACAATTATTATTTTATTTGATTCTCACAACAGCCTTGCAAGGTGGGTGCTATTATTACCCCCATTTTACAGATGAGGAAAGTGAGGGTTAATGATCACCCAGGGTCATACAGCTAGTAAATGTCTGAGGCTGGACTTGAACTCAAGTCTTTCACCATGCTGCTCCTACTTTCCTGTTCTAAGGCCCCAGAGCAGGGGAGACAATCTGGTGGCCTGGGGGTGACTCTCCCTGAGAGTTCTGACTCCTCTTTTGTTTGTTTCTTCACATCCTGGATAACCTGCCATAGCATGTACAAGAGACCTCCCTACATCCTGTGAGCAGGTTAACCAAGAAAGTGGCCCTCAGGCACTTCCATCGGGGAGGATGCAACAGAATGACTTCTCTCTTTCTCTTGTCTCCAGCATAATGGCTGACAAAGCCAAGCCTGGCAAGGCTGCCAACAAGACTCCCCCCAAGTCTCCTGGAGATCCTGCCAAGGAGAAGTCAGCTAAACGTCTCTCACTGGAGTCCGAGGGCACCAATGAGGGGGCCGCTGCCCCGGAACTCAGTGCCCTGGAGGAGGCCTTCAGGAAATTTGCTATCCATGGAGATACCAGAGCCACAGGGAAAGAGATGCATGGAAAAAACTGGTCAAAACTCTGTAAGGACTGCCAAGTAATCGATGGAAAAAATGTGACAATCACCGACGTGGACATCGTCTTCAGTAAAATCAAGTAAGTCCGTGTCCCTGTTCACTAGCTCCTTTTTTGGGTGCAAATAGCTTATGCTGTTGTGGCTTAGAGGGCTTCATCTCGGCCATAGATTGTAACTTGTCATTCCTTCCGTATCCTCATTAGTAGATATGTAGATGCCCTTCTCTTTTAGGCAAACATTGGGGTTCTTCGAATTCTCCTCATAGTCATCTAAGCAGAAGCAGGTACTTCATTTCACTAAATAGTAATATCTTCTGAGAAGACGGACCGTGATGAAGCGGTCTGACTGTCTTCACAATACTTGTTGGATGATTTTTTTTATTATTATTGACAGAAGAAAAGAGGGGCTGGTATGTCAGGGTCAGGAGATGATGAAGCAGCATGACTGTAGACTTTCAGCTTGAGAGCTGTCTGCCATGCTTTTTTTTTTGTTCTTGTTGCTCCAGAATAGTGTGCCCTCGTATAGGAACTAGAAATAATAAGAATGTGGGGAGGAAGAAACCTTGAGAAAGGAGGGCTAGAATAATGTTTATGCAGATGCAATTGTTTGGTATAGAGGGCTGGAATTCCAAATCTGTTGCTGAGCTGTGTAATTACAAAAGAAAGCAGATCTTTGGACTTTAAATATATTTATTTAAATGAGTAGGACTTAAACCTGTGATTTCACTGGTATGAGGAACTCCTAGGTGAAGAAACTATAACTATAGATTGGCCCCTTCTCTGCATCTTAGAGTTAACACCTTTAGAATTGCCTAGAGCATTGCTAGGTTCAGTAACTTATTTAGGGTCACCATGTCAATATGTGCTAGGGCTGGGACTTGAACCCAGGTCTTCCTGGCTTTGAGGCTAGCTCTCTCTCCTCTGTGCTATACCACCTCTTTGAATATCCTCTAAATTATCTATCATTTATTTTATCAATCAGAAACCTTCCAAAACCAGCATTTCCGATAGCTCCCTTTATGAACATTCCCTCTGTTAACCAGAACAGAGGTTTCTGAACAAAAGGAACCCACTGCCAGCATGAATAGTTCGTGGTGGGGGGATTGGCCCTGGGAGCCAAACTTCATCATCCTTGCACGTATGGTCAAGGTCCTGTCACATTTTTTCACAAGCACTTTTCCTTGGCTCTCCTTATCTGCTCAACTTAAATAAAACAGCAGATGGATTCTTTTCAAACACCAAAGTTTATTTTTTAAGTAAAGTTTTACTTTCAATGCAATCCATCTTTGTGTATTTAAGAATGTTGCAGTTTGGGAAATTCATGCTGACTTTTGTTTTCCTAAGTGTTCAATCGCTAATGGCTTTCCTTGTTCTTTTGATAGATTTTTCCCATTTATTTCACATCCATTCAGTCAGTATCAAGTACCTAGTATATGTGAGGCAAAAATTGGGGGTTGAGGCGGGGTAGAGGAAGGAGTAACAACGACAAAAATGAAACCATTGTGGCCTGCCCATGAAGAGCTTACATTCTTTTTTTTTAAAATCTTGTTTTTATTGATTACCTTTGTTTTTATGTCACTTTCATTCAAAAAATAACTTTTTTATATATTTAAAAGGAATAGCAAGTTGTAGATAATAAATTTGCAGTTTCATGTGCAATCATCTTGTTTTTATTATACTATGTTATGGAGATGCTTGTTTTATTCTATGAATTAAAAATTAAATAAATAAATGTGGAAAAAATATATCTCAACCCCAGTCCTTGGCACAAAGAGGGGGAGGAAAGGGAGTTCTGCAAAACCATTTAACACACTATGAGCTCTGTGAGGAAAAGGATGATGTTGTTATTTTTTTCTTTGAATCCTCCAGTGCTGGATAGGCTTTTAATAAATGTTCATTGATTGATTGTGCCTGACAATAGCTACAACCTATTCGACTGGGAGATACTAGTGAGCATGTAAGTAAATACAAAGTTTACGGTGAGTTATGAAAAGCAAGTTCACCATGGAAATTGTGCTAATAATTGAGAATAAGGAAAAGCCTTTCTGTTGTCCCTCAGATGATATTTCCCTAATTTTGTGCTTCCACCCTAGACTAGGGTGAACCTGCTCACCTGGGGTGAAACCTGGTGATCACAGGTCTAGAGGTGGAAGGAAACTCAGGGGCCATCTTGTCCAACCCCTGATTTTACAGCGAAGAAAATTGAGATCTAGAGAATTTAAGGACTTGCCCATGCTCATCTAGGTAGTAAGCATGAGGTAGGGTTTAAAGCCAGGTCCTCAGCCTCTAGAGGCAGTGCTGTTTCCACTGCCTCCCTAAATTAATTAGCTCTTAGTTAACCTTGTTGCTTTTGACTAGTTGCTATTCCCTTTCAATTCAGTAAATATTAAGCACCTACTAGATGCAGAACCCTATTTTTGGAAACTGGAAGACCCCAAATTTAGCTAATGCAGGAGTCCATTTCCTAACAGTCTAGATCACAAAAGAATTATTAGTTCTGTAAATCTAGTTTTTTGATCAATCTGGAAAAGTAGGCATGGATCTATCAAACCTAACTCCTAAGTTGCTGCTATTCAGATGTTTTCAATTGTGTCTGACTCCTTGTGGCCCCATTTGGGGTTTTCTTGGCAGAGATATTGGAGTGGTTTACCATTTCCTTCTCTAGATCATTTTACAGATGAGGTAATTGAGGCAAACAGGGCTAAATGACTTGCCCAGGGTCACACAGTTAGTTGACTGAGTAAGTGTCTGAGGCCAGCTTTGAACTCAGGAAAATGAATCTTCCTAACTCTAGTCCACGGTGCTCTACCTACTGCTCCACCTAACTCCTAAAAAGTTACCACAAAGGTGTAAGAACTTAACCTAAGAACATGCCTAATAACGTGCTAAAGAGACATGAGTATAACATCACTTTACCTGCCTGTCCGTTTTCATAAACCAAATGGCAGTCCCCTTCCCCACATTTAGTGGCACAGATGCTAAAATTGCATCCTTCCTTGGCAGGAAATATCAAAGAAGGCAAATCTCCTCTATCTCAGGATTGTACTCACTTAAGTATGTTCTGTTCACTAATTCCCTATTTTCAAGAGGCCTGGCCAGAAATACTCCCAACCTTGATCTATCTTGACTTTTTGACCTGGCAATCTTTTCATCTTATTGGCCTCCTGACTCCTAAACCTTTTGCTTGGTCTTGACTGAGATAAATCCTATCACGTGGCTTTTGGACTGTTGTGTCCAAGAATATTCCCATATCTACTTGACTCTCTTTTTCTCTATGAAGGTCTCCTACCTCCCCAACCACCATTGCCACTCAAGATCCATCTGATAGTCTACTTAGGATCCGAGGGAGACTAGAATTCATTTCCCTTTGACAGTCAGACTCAACAGAAATAACGGGGTTTTCTCTCGCTGTTAATTGTAACAATTTCAGGCCTCCTTTGCCCATTCCCCTCTCCTATCACCCCAGGCCCTGGTAACGTTTGCCATCCTTCAGTATACAACACACACTGGAAACACATCAGAACATAGCTCATCTTGACATAGGTTTTTATAAGTTATCTTGTCCTCCAAAACCTAGCAACTCTTGTAGTAAAGCCTTGATAGAACACAGGCTGTATTCATTTAGGTTATTTCTTTTTCCAGTCCTTTTATGCCTTTTACCCCTAAGGGGGTGTTTTGATGTGAATCTCTTTTTTTAATATAACTAGAGATTTTCTCTATGAATGTCATGTGTTTCCTATAAAAATTTCATTTGAATCAGTTATCTGTGTAATTTTTAGCTGTCTGAAATCTATATAAACAAAGAGAAATGAAAAGTGGAAAAATATTATTTGAGCTATTATTATTTGTTTCTTCCTTGTTTAAGTCTAGACCCTTACATCCCAATGTCTCTTTTGGAGTATAATTTTCTTAAATGAGGACAGTATAAAATCATAACTGTTCAGAGCTGGAAAGAACTTTATAGATAGTCTAGTCCAGGCTTTGGTAAATTCTGGCTTGTGGGCCATCATTTTTATCTATTTTAAATAAAAACCATTCTTAGCTCATGGGCAATATGAAAACAAGCAGTGGGCTGGATTTGGCCCATGGGCCGTGGTTAGCCAATCTACTCCAATCTCCTCATTTTACAGATAGGGCCCTTGAGGCCCAGGGTAGTGGAGCGATTTAAACCAGGTCACAGAGTTAGCTAGTTAGTGATAGACTTAGAACGAAACCTCAGGTCTCCTAACTGCAAAGGCATTGCTTTTCTTACTATATACCATGTCACATTAGTCATTGTTAGCCATTTTCAGGTAGCACTTTTGTAAACCTCAAAGTATCAAAGTTTATATACAGATATGCCTCTTATTGGACATATGTGTGTGGATCCATTTGTGCATAGATTTAAGTGTAGGTGTGTGTATGATAGATATATATTTGGGCTAGACTTTGGAACATGGATATGTTGATTATAGACAAGGTAGAGAGAGGCCATACCAAGCTACAAAAGAGTTTAATAAGGGCATGATGTGGGAGAGCTGAAGGTACAGTTTAGGGACAATAAATAATACAGTTTGGTAAGAACAAAAGGTTCATTTAGGGCAGAAGTTCTTAACCAAAGGTCCATGAGCTTGTTTTTAATGTGTGTGTATATATACACACATACGTATGCATATACACATGCACGAACACCCACACATATTTGCACAATGTAATATATTATGTATATACATGTACATGTACATGTACAATAAGACATACCATATGTATGTACAATACATATACAGATGCACATACATAGTATATACGTGTGAGTGTACATATTAGCATACATAATACACATGCACACAATGCATCTATACATACACATACAAATATACATATAAGACACATCATATACATATACAGATGCACATACATATACATGTACATATACATATATAACTGTATTTCATTATAATTGGTTTCTTTTGTAACCCTATGAATCTTAGTTTGTGCATTTGCAAACATTACTCAGGGAAGCATCCATAGCTTTCATCAGATTGTCTGAGAGATCTATCACACAAAAAAGTTAAAGAGCCCTGATTTTAGTGAATAATGGAAGAAAGAAAGTAAGCCACTTCAGGGCAGGAATGATTTCATTTTTGTCTTGGTGGAAGTAGCATAGGTGATATATCACCCCAGGCCCTGGTAACGTTTGCCATTCTTCAGTATACAGAAAGAGTGCTAGAATTGATGTTGAAAGAGATACAGGCTCATGTCCTACTGGCCCCCACTTACCAAAGTATAACCTGGGTAAGTCACTTAACAAGGAGTTCTCTACTTTTTTTTTTTGCTCTTGGCACAACATCCTTTTCTGTGAAGGATTGAGGCATCACCTTGGTAACATTAGTCAAACTCCTTTGAAGAGCAAGACATATTCCTCATATTCTAAAAGTACGTTTTGGGGAGTACTTCTCAAGATGATTGACTGAATATGTGTTTCTGCCTGGGTGGCTATGCAGTGTTGCTCCCTATTGGCTTAAAAATAAATCAAGAGGAAAAAAGAAATCAAACAGATTCGTGTGGTTGCAGGGCAGGACATCTTTTTTAGTAAATGTGTCCTTGGGTATGACTTTAGGTTAATTATTGCAGTAACTTCCAACTTGGTCAGCCAAACTTGGGAAAAACTTGAATTCTTGTGGACTGACATCCCAAATATTCATCGTTCACTGATGAAGCCAGTCTGCCCATAGTCAGCCGAGTTGTGACTTTGTCATGTATATACACTGCTTCACTGCTGTCCAATGTGGGCACGTTCAATTGCTTCTCCCGAACTAAGGGAGGGAAAGTAGGTCAGCTATATTTAACTTCAGCAGTTTGGGGAGGAAGCAAATATATTCAAAACATCCTCATCCTCCAAAGGGATGTCAGTAGAAGCTCAAATCAGTTCAGTTCCACCGACACTTAAGTCCTCACCACGTGCAAGACACTGTTTTTATGGGCCATTTGTGCTAATCTTGGAGAGCTTAGAAGTCTAGGGTTTTGCCATGATTTGAGTCCCTTCAAAAGGCATGATTAGGAAAGAGTAGAGGCCAGAGTCACAGGACCTGGCTTCAAATCCTAGCTCTTATTCTTACTACCTGTGTGACCTTGGACAATTAAATTACTTAACCTCCCTTTCCACAACTCATAGATCTATATCTTGAGAGGATTGGACAAGATAATCTCTGAAGGGTCCCTTCCAGCTCTCGACCTCAGATTCTAGTTCCTGTTAATTTTTTGACAAGTGTGTGTATGTGTGTGGTAAGGGGGGTGGTAATTCTAGTGTAATGGAAACACTAAAAGTGACTTTAGTCTGAGCTCTGCCACTATTTAGCATTTATATAACCACTGGCAAGCCAAGTACCCTGTGGGCCTCTGCCAATAGAGGGACCAGGAGATGTGGTCTGTTAGGTCCCTTTCAGATCTAAAATTGTATGTTTTTGATGCCTTGCATTTCCCAACAAGGTTGAGAGAATTAATTAACCACAATTTATAGTACCTTGGTAAGATAAGGACTCAATATTGTGACTATATTTAGTTTCTTGCATAACTCTGATTATTTTATTATTGCCATTTGTAAACTTATCTTAGAAGGCCAAAACTAAATAATAGGGCTTAGGAAGTGGTGTATGCATATACACAGGTGTGTGTACACATATAAATATAGTAATACATACATATAGACACATGTGTATATGCACACATGTATACAATCTATGTACACACATATGTACATATGTTACAGTTTTATACATGGACAGTTTTTGCTTTACATAATTTTGCATTTTTGCAAATTCAACTCCTCATCTGGTAGGCGGGTAGCAGGACACCGTGGCAGCCAGGGTACAGCCCCATGCCAAAGGTCCCAGAGCGACTTTGGTTGCAGGGGCATAGAGCCTTGGAGAGGGTGGGATGTCACAAAGCCCCACAAAGGGAGGGAGAGGTCTGCAGAAGGGCCCACTTAGGTTAAGCAAGAACTGGCTGTATATATAACATGGAGATATACTTGGTGCAAGAAGAGTTTAAGGCTTATTCTTCCTCTGTAAACTCTCTCTCAGACCAAAAACTATATAGTTCATGTCTGCTTTTTTTCCTGTTTTTAACTTCAATATCTTCCATATTTCCATGGGTTTATTTGTAGCCTTTCATATTTGTCCTGTGCTTTATAGAGAATAACTTATCAGGTCATTCAGCACCTATGCCAGGGAAGTGGTTGCTAACTATAAAAACATCCCTACATCTTATATAGAGGAAAAAGGGATGCCAAGAAAAGGGTCGTGACTTAGTACATACATGCAATTTGGTCCCATGAAAAGAGTATTTGGAATTAGAGGACTTGAGTTCGAATCCCAGTTTTGCTATTTGCCACCTGGTGACCTTTGAGTAAATGCCATCACCATCCTGGGGCTCACCTTCCCTATCTGGAAGGAGAGACTTAGGTGACTTTTAAGGTACCTTCCAATCTTATGATTTATAAAATGGGTGATGGACTAAAAAGGCTTCTCAGGTCCCTCTTATCTATAATATCTATGATGCTCTCTCTAAAACTCCTTAAGGCTCACTGCAGATGGTAGAATATTAGTTCACTTCCAGTACCAGGAAAGTACCAGGAAAACAGTACAGTCCTAGTTCGAATTCTGGTCCCCAAAGCCTAGTTCAATTCAGGATGAATTATTTGAACTCTATGTGTCTTTGAGTCCCAAAATGTCAAAGGGGATGCTACTTAGTTGTAGTAGTTTGTGGAATGATTTGCAAACATTATTTCATTTGATCCTCACAACCACCCTGGGATGTGGGTGCTATTATTTATTATCCCCATTTTACAGATGAGAAAACCAAGGCAGACAGAAGGCACATGACTTACCCAAGGTTATGAAGTCAGTAAGTATCTGAGGCTGGATTTGAACTCAGGTCTTCCTGATTCTAGGCCCAGTGTTATAGTCCCTGGGCCACCTGGCTACAGTTGTTATTTAAGCACCTTTAATTCTGTTCCCCTACAAGGTAATGCAGTAGATAGAATGCTGTACTTCGAATCAAGGAAGACCAGAGTTCAAATCCAGCCTCAGGTACTTAACTATCTGTATGACCCTGGGCAAGTCACTTCATCGCTGTCTGCCTCAGTTTCCTCATTTGTAAAATGGGGATAATAATAGCACCTACTTCCCAGGGTTGTTGGGAGGATCAAATAAAATAATATATGTAAAGTACTTTGCAGACTAAGCCCAGTGTAAATGCTAGCTGTTATTCTGAGATCAGACCAGCTCTGGGACATCCTCCTACTTTCCCCTACTCTTCATCATCCCTCTTTTTCTTTTTTTCTCTTTTCTTCCCCTTTTTCTTTCCTCTTCTCTACATTCTTCTTTTCAGCTTTATCTCTTGTCTTTCTGATCCTTTCCTTCCCCACCAAAGTAGCATGTTTGTGGGGGTGGGGGGTGGAGGGGGAGGGTGCTGATAAATGGGAATCTTCTCAGTTCCTCTTTTTAGGCTCCGTAAGTTTTCCTTTGTTGTGCTCCCTACAATGTGACTCTCACAGAGGAAGGACCTGTCTTTGAGCAGCTCATTGGGACAAGCAGAGGCAAAGATCATTTTTAAGTAATGGAGGCACCCCTGCCCCACCATCTCTCTCTTTGTGTATGTGTCTCTCTCTCTCTGTCTCCCTCTCTCTGTCTGTCTGTCTGTCTGTCTCTCTGTCTCCCTGTCTCTCTGTCTCCCTGTCTCCCTGTCTCTCTGTCTCTGTCTCTCTGTCTCTGTCTCTCTCTCTCTGTCTCTCTCTCTCTCTCTCTCTCTCTCTCTCTCTCTCTCTCTCTCTCTCTCTCTCTCTCTCTCTCTCTCAGTATGGTAGAAACACAGAATTCAATGGGGAGAATCTAATAGCAGGGAAAGTCCTTAGGTTATCCAGCACAACACTGAAGTTGGGCTTTGGCAGATCTGGGGTGTGTTTGTGTGTGTGTGTGTATGTTTACACATCTTGAAGAACAAAATATCCAAGAACGATTGTGTCCGATCTCTGTTTGACTAGCATTCCCACATGTTGCTTTGGGAACATAAATTTCTTGGTTTATTGGGGTCAGCAACTGCTCAGGGGAATTTGATACAGAAGATATGCCCTACACATGCTCCACTTGTTGGATATGGTTAATGTGGTAATAATAATAGCCCTGATAAAAATACCTTTGCTCTTATTTTAGGAGTGTAAGTATGGAACACTACAAGGAAATTGTCTTAAGTACTGCCATAAAATTGCTAATTCTCTGACATTACTTGATAGAAAAAAAAATCAAAATATTTCTGTTTATCCTGGCAGGTTACTATGGTTCCAGGCAGGCCTGGGTGACGTCATGTTTTGGATCTCTGTGAGCCTTTATTTAGGTAGTTGTCTCCATAGCAACATTTGTTTGTTTTGATGTAACTATGTGTTAAATTTTAAACAAATTTTTGTGGTTATACACTAGACTTTTATTGAAGACTACTGTTAAACTAGATAAATGTCACTCTTACCCCTCCTCCCCACAAAGAATTAGCAACATTTGAAGGCAGTCAAATGAGATCGATCAAAATTTAACATTCTGAAATACCAGCAATTGGTATTCCTTTCATTGTTATCTGCATCACCTTTGAATCACCCCTGAAATGCAAAATGCAAAAAAAAAAAATCACCCTATTGTGGGGGGGGGGGTGTATTCTAGGGAACTTTCTTATTCTTCTTGAGGATTTTTGCCAGACAGGTGCCACTTAGCTTTTTCTTTTCCTCTGTAGGATCATAGTTCTGGAGCTAGAGAGGCCACCATAACACTGCATCTAAAATGTTTTTATAAATCTTAGTAGATCTTCATGATAGATTTATTTTCTTGTTCCTCACACAACCAGTCTGTGGGAAGTGGGTCACTGGCCATTTCCCACTTGGTATGAGAGAGGCCAGTATTTCAGAGGTGATGAGAGTAAAGTCGTGTGGTTTATGTGGTCAAGGTCAGGGAGGGAGTAAAGAATGGAATCTAAGATTCAGTGAATGAAGCCCTTCTGGGGCTCAGACCTTGATGGTAAATTGTAAATATCCCTATTTTGTAGTTACTATGGGGGTGACACAAGTCACTGTACTTTTTCTGGTCCTCTGTTTCTCTGTCAAGTGGGGGAGATGGTCTAGTTGACCATGCAGGTCCCCTCTAGCTCTAAAGCTATAAGCCTATGATAGGTTCTTGTTCTCCCTTTCACTTCTTTTAAAGTAATTGCTTCTCTGGTGCTACCAATTTAAATCACTTAGATGGCTCTCCTCAGGTCAGTGCAGGGCTAGCGAGGCCTTCTCCTCACCAGATGCCTGCTGCCCACAATTGGGAGATTTGAAAACTGAACCAGATGCATTCTGCAATCACAGCTGCTTGATTGTGATTCCCTGGCAAGGATAAGACTGGGTGCTCTTCTCCCCCTCAGCCACCGAACACAGCAGCAGTTGTTTTCTGCCTGTCTGGGGTAAATGCTAGGGATTGTTTACTTCAGACACCTGTGGAAGAGAAGGCACTTGGAAATGTGTACTCTTTCATAACAAATTTGTCGTACATGGGTTGTCACTAGGGAAGCTTCCAACTTGGTCAGCCAAACTCCCGTGTTTTTGTAGGGTAAGTTTTAAAAATAAAACAACTATGTTATGTCATGCAGGGAGATTTCTACACACCAGCTCCCACAGGTAAATTAATGGACAAACAGGGATGCAAAAATTGAATATGACTTCTTGACTTCTGTATCTTAACTTTCTTTCAAAATCAGTCATGACTAATCTTTTGAGAGCTGCCTGTTTTCATGGCATTCGCAGCAGTCTTGTTGACCACAGGAAATGAATAGTAATTGGATTTAAAACATTGTGCCAAAATTGTGCTGAGTTATTCTTGACTTTGAGAAATAACTGCCACTAGACATTGGCTAATATTGGGGAAGTATAACCACAGACTTGCAGAACCTCACAGAGGAGCCAGTCCTACTGTCTCATTTTACAGATGAGGAGACTGAGACCCAGAGTGTTTGTGTATCTCAAAAAGACAATTTCTAACAGCCTCTGGCCAGAAAGCAAATAAGTCACCACAATAATAATTTCTTCAAGAAAGCATTAAAACATTTTTGGTCTCTGTGAAACGCTCAAAGAGAAAGGGAGGCCAGGCTTTGCCAGCCTTGGATAGAATAAAAGCTGGGTGAAGAAGAGATAAGCAGATTTAGTGTAATTGAACTAGATAAACCTGTGGGATGTCATGAAAGACGATTCCTGGATGGGAGGTGGGAAATTCATATTTACTAGCTTTGAGGCTTCAATCAAAGAAGGTTAGTAATGTGGAAAGAGCACTGAATGAATTTGTAGTGAGACAACCTGGGTAATGATCCCAGCTCTTCTGTTTGCTGACTTTATAACCTTGGGCAAGTCATTTAACCTCTGGACTTCAGTTTCCTCACCTGTAAAACGAAGTGATTTTAGATTGAGCTCTGGGTTCAGTGAATTGAATGCTGGGCCTGGAGTCAGGAAGACCTGAGTTCAAATCCAGTCTCAAACACTTACTAATTGTGTGATCCTGGACAAGTCACTAATCCCTATTTGCCTCAGTTTCCTCATCTGTAAGATGATCTGGAGAAGGAAATGGCAAACCACTCCAGTATCTTTACCAAGAAACCCCCAAATAGGGTCACAAAAAGAAAGGTACAACTGAAACAGCTGAACAACAATAAAATGAAGAGTTTGGACTAGGTCAGGAGTTCTTAACCTTGTTGTGATGAACTTTTTAAAAAATATTATGATAACCATTTAAATGTAATTGGTTTCCTTTCTAATCCTATGTATTTTGTTTTATGCATTTAACAACATTATCCTGGCATTGGACTGGAATCTGAGAAGGAGTCCATAGATTTTCTCAGACTGCTGCCAGAGGGGTCTGGGGCACAAAAAAAAGATGCCCGAACTAGCCCAACTCCAACATCTCTTCTACTCTCGATGCTAGCAAGTGCTCAATTGAGTGGATGGGCTTTGCAGACCCATCCTCCCTGCATCATAAAGTCATCGTGCAGAGAAAAAGGAGACCGAGATGCAAAAGCACTTTAAGATGCTACACAAATGTGAGATGATCTTATAGTATCTTTCCTTCTTGGTTGGGGGAGAGAGCCCTGAATACTGCCGCTAACTAGTCTGTACCCTATCAGCCAATGGGCATTGATAGTTCACAGTTAACCTGCCTTGCAGGCTTTAAAACAAACAAACATGACCAGTTCCTCTGGAATACTTCAATAATGAAAACTTCCATGCACATTTTTAGTCACTGTCAGTATAGCTTCCCCTCCCAATAAAGTACAAAACATTTGTTTCTAGGAAACAAATGTCTTTCCACAAATGTTTCATGAATCCTCATGACAGGAGGAAGGTCTGGCTGCTGCCTAGCTACACAGTGACTGGGAAACCTTCTGCACATGCTCTTCCTTCTTACCTCCCCCTCCCCCACAGATCTGGGTCTGAGGTCCAGCCTCATCCCCACCCCTGTCCTGGACTCCAGCACCTTTGGTCTTGCCCAGGGCACTGCATTGCACGAGCAGTGACTGAGAACTTTGTGCTGAAGGCAGGCCCTCCTCAGCCTCTCCCTCCTCCCCACATCCTATTCACTGCCACCATCCACTCCACTTGGATGGATCTGTTCGGAGCCCGCCACATGACCCAAATCTTACAAACATTCCTTAGGCATCAGTTATATGCAAAGTCACTGTGCTGGGATCTGGGGTTACAAAAATAAAAAATGACACAGTCCTTATCCTTAGCTTAAATTCTGTTGGGAAACTGGTACCCAGCAGCATGCTGCATGTGCAGCTTACAACCTTGTATTTTTGTCACAAAAGGGAGGGCCTGTGTGGATGCTGAGGGCATAGAGGGGGAAATGAGGCAGTATCTTTTTATTTACCTCTCTATTACTAAACATTTTCTAGTCATTCTGTCCAGCTTTAAATGCCCTGATAAATTAATGTTCAAATGACTGAACAACAACAAAATTAATGTTCACAGGGCTGTTTTGGAATTTCACTGTGCCTTATGGCTGATTTTTTTTCCCATTAGACTAGGCTGCTTCTCAATTCAATTTCTATTTGTTATATTAATTTCCAAGGTGTTCAGATGCTCCTCTTGGTTTAATTAGTTCCTGACTGAGGAAAGGTTGCACTTTTCCACTGTGTGACTCTTAAAAGACTTTTCTATCCTGTTCTTTCATATCTTATTTCAGAGAGTATGTGGGCAGGACTGGACAAAACTCTAGGGCAGTGATGAATTCCAAACTCTTCTACAGAATGCCAGGATTCCAGAGACAAGTCTCCATGACTTCTTTGAAGAAAATTAGTGGTCTAGTCCACCACCTTTAGACACTACCCTACCCCACCATGGCTCCAGGGTAGGAAAAACAAGCCAAAATGGGCTTTTGTAAATATATGGTATATACTTTTACAAATATATAGTATAGTTCATCAATTTTTTATCGCTGTCATCCACTCTAAAAATGTCAGTTTTCTTTGTGGTTGTCACCCCCACCAAGTGACTTTTTTGGGAGCTCTGCAATGTCAGCTTTCTCTTTCAGTCGAAGAATAGATCTTAAGGGGTAGAACAGTAGAAGAAGAAAGAGAAGAGCCTAGTAGAGACAGGGGCACCTAAGGGGAGACAAAGTTATCGTAACAATGAGGCAACTTATCATTTCCACTACCAGCCAGCCTCCTCAGGATTCCCAACTAAGTCCCCATGCAGGTCCTAACCCATAATCTAATGCTGTGATTCTCAAAGCATGGTCCTATCCACTCACTCCTGCCCAAATACTCTTTTTAAAAAGTGTGAAGCTCCTCCAAGTGGGCCTCAGGTTTGGATTGTATTACTTATATATACCACGACAATATAGTTTTAATCTAACTTGACTTCATAATTTACCTGTGGAAACCCTCATTAGTGTCCATCTAAAGTAGTCCCGATTTTTCCAAGTGTTCTAAAGCATTTGGGGGGGGGAAGAGAAGGGTATTAGTATTGTTATTATCATGTTAATTAACAGACAATCAACAACATTCTCATATAAGATATGTCCTATTTTATGGTTTATTTGGTAGCATTTTTTGAAAGATACACACTAATGTTATATGACCCTAAATACTGCTCTTGTATGTTATACTAATGCACAAGGTCTGTGGACCCCAGTGCCCTCCAATGCCCCCTTTATGCTCTCTTCATGGCTGAAGCCTATGTACGGTATATTCCTTTTCTAGTCATTAGTTTCAGATTGGAAAAAAAAAAATCCCGGCGTGATCTAGGTAGAGGTGGTTGGAATTTGTAGAACCCACCCCTGGAGGTGGGTGTGTTAATCTATGTTGCCCTCTAGTGGTAAAGCAGTGGTAGGAGTTGTATATTTCTGCTGTGGTATAAGTGAGGTTGTTGGCCATTCATTCACTGTCGATCCCTGGACAGGAGCCAAGTTTAAGTTTTTACAGATTGGAGGCTCTCAGTGAATGCTGAACAATGACATCTCCCTTATTTTTCACCCTCTTTCCATGTCTGCAGTCCTTTCACCCAAAGTGATTTTGGTTAGTCTTTTATCCCCAGTGATTTTGAGAGAGAGAGAGAGAGAGAGATTGAATGAATGAATGAATGAATGAATGAATGAATGAATGAATGAATGAATGAATGAACCAACCTTGGATTTGTATTTACAACTGGAAGGGACCTTAAAGGTCACCTAGTCTAATCCTCCCTCATTTTATAGAGAAGGAATCTGGCCTTGGGAGAGACTTAAGTAATTGATCCAAAGTCATGGGGATTTGAACCTGAGTCTCCTAAATCCAGATCCAGTACTCCTTAGTACCTAGAAATCATATCATTCTGAAACTGTAGGCACACTTACACAGAATTCAGTTCTATAACCCATTGCCTTGCAGAACAAATAACAAGCATGGCAGTAGATGGTAGGATTCTTAATTGCAACGCTGTTGCAATTTTAGGTTATACTTTAGAGACTCCATTTTATCACAGTTATGGATTATTGAATAAATTTCCCTGATCACAGATAAATAAAGATACAGATATGTACACACCTATGTATCTATATATATACATATATACACACATATATAATATATATATACACACACACATATATATAGTTATACATAGTTCCTGTGTTCAGTGGCATTTTTGTGTTGATTCTAATATAGTTTAGGAGGCAGCTAAGTGGCTCTGTGGATAAACTGCTGGGCCTGGAGTCAGGGAGACCTGAAGTAAACTCCGGCCTCAGACACTTACTAGCTATGTGACCCTGGATAAATCTTTTAACTTCTGTTTGCCTTCATCCCCTGGAGAAGGAAATGGCAAACCACTCCATATCTTTGCCAAGAAAATCTAATGGACAGTATTGGCATGCTATGGTCCATGGGGTCATGAGTCGGATATCATTGACTGACTAAACAACAACATACCTTAAAGAACTAGGTTTATAAGTAAACCAATCAGAACTTGCTTTGTGGGTTGAAGGAGGTTGGTCTAGATGAATCTGTCTGTAAACCATCCCAATAGCTGTCTAATACTGAACATTTTTGTTTAATTATGTGTACATATGGCCTTCCCTGATAAAATGTATGTTCCTTGAAGGCAGGGACAGTTTTGTTTTGTTTTTTCTTTTGTATCTCTGACACTTAACACAGTGTTTTGCACACAGTAAGCACTTAATAAATACTTATTTATTGATATGTAAAAAGAGAAGTAGGGCCATCCCTCCTATATGGAAAGACACCTCTGACCCTCAGGCAGAAGCAGGACTGGTCCTACCTGGTTAAAATAGAGCTAAATATCTTCATCAGCCAGTTTAATGGCAACAACTTAGGGATGCTGAGGAGATACCCTTAACCTTTTGAAGACGGGCTTTCAAATAAAGAGCAGCTATTTCAAGATGCCTCCTTAGTGCTGCTGCCAGAGGCAGCACATGGGGTTGGATGAATCCTTAAGCAAACCCAGTAGGCAGCTGGGCAAGAGGTATGAAACCAAGGGCCCATTCAAAATGAAGGGCCTAGAGTATGGAACCCTGCAAAGTACTTCTTTTCCTTGGTTCTGGAAAGCCAGTTAAACAAAGGACAATTCCAATATGAAATTGGGAAGATTTTGATGGAGTAATTTCCCCCCTATTTGGAATATAAAATTTTGGGGAAAATGTGATCATGGTGATCAATATCTGCCAGATATACTTTTAGCTGATTACGGAATCAACGGATTGACTTTTGAAGATATGCAAACTTAGCCTGGACTTCTCCAGCCTTAATATGTTACTCTTTTTCTGTGCTGTGATACATGTTGTCTGTTGCCCTAACACATAGGTACTCCCCAGTGGGTCAGTTGGGCTATTCTGGTTTGAGAATACCCATGAAGCAAAGGTAACAGTGGATAGAGTACTGGACATGGAGTCAGGAAGTCAGGAAGACCTGAGTTCGAATCTCAGACACTTACTAACTGTATGAGTCACTTTACCTCTGTCTGCCTCTGGTTTCTTCATTTGTAAAATGAGGATAATAAAAGCACCTACTTCCCAGACTTGTTGTAAGGATAAAATTCAGTAATATTTGCAAAGGGCTTTGTAGACCTTAAAGCATTCTAGAGGTGCTAGTTATTATTATTATTAATTATTGTTATCACATGACTTGCCTGTGGTATCTCAAGAAATGAGCAGATAAGCTGGGAGGATAGCCCAGGTGTTTGGGTGTGGAACTCTTGGCTTAGTTCTTGACCTTAGTATAGGTCAGAGCTTCCTGACTGGTAGAGCAAGGACCTGATTGTGATCCTTTGGAGCTCAGCCCTTGGCACTGGGGTACGGCTCCTTTTACAGATATTGGCTCAGCATCCGCTTTTTGTGCAGCCCATTTCTAAGCATAGGCAAAGACTGGTAGCAGCCTGGAGACTAGTCTTCTTTTCATCAAAATCCCCAGATGGAAGTAATATTAATAATAATAACTACTAACATTTATAAAGTGCTTACTTACTATGTGTCAAACACTGTGCTAAGCACTTTACAAATAGTAGTCATACTATTACATGGAAATGTTTTACAATATGATTGCACATGTATAATCTATATTGGATTGCTTACCACCTCAGGAAGTGGGGAGGAGAAAGAGGATGGGAGAGAGGGAGGAATAGAAATTGAAACTCAAAACTTTTTTTTAATGTTAAAAATTGTTTTAACATGTAATGGGGGGGAATAAAATATTGTTATAAAGAAGAAGTAGTAGTCATAAAATGGTTTTCCAGATGACTTTCTCATGAAGGGAGAATAGGGAGAGAATGATTATATAGACATAGGCCAGGAGTTCTTAACCTTTTTTCATGTCTTGAATCCCTTTAGCAGTCTGATAAGAAGCCCATAGGCCCCTTCTTAGAATAGTGTTTTTAAAGGCATGAAATAAAATGATTAGGATTACAAAGAAAACTGATTACACTCATATACAGTTATGAAAATGTTAAAAGAACAAATTCCTGGAACCTGGGTTAAAGACCCCTTCGAAAGCTTATTAGCATTGGAAAGAACTTCGGTTCAGCCTCCTCATTCTACAATGAGGGAACTGAGGCCCAGGAAATTAAATGACTTGCCCAAGAACACACCATTGCTTATAGCAGAGCCAAAATTAGAACCCGAGTCCCTCGACTCCCATTCAAGTGCTTGTTCCACTGTACCACACAATACTTTAGTGTTTGCTCTCCTATTCATTCTCTCTTCTTTTCCCCTTTTGATTGACCCACTTTATTTGCTAAGCATTTTGTCAGGCCAAATACAGCTCCTCCTTTTTTTCCACTATTTTCTTCCAAAGCCTTCTAGAGTATGTGGTAAGTATTGTCTCCATATGGTGTCCCAAAGGATGGTTCTAGGATGGAAAGGAAGGTTCTCCTACCATCGGGAACCATAAATGCATTACAGCCTCACTAGCATGTGTCCTTGCCAGAGGATTCTCCTTAAGGTGAGACTGCTTTATAAACAAGCCCTTTTGGATTCTTCTGTAGTTTGGATGGGTGGAGCTAGATGGTCTTGCTTTAGCTAAGCCGTGTTAAGTTATGTCCTATCCCACAGCTCTTCCATTTAAGTGGACCATTTCTCCTCCTCGGGGATATATTTCCTTTGTTCTCCAGGAAGTGTTCATAGTTACTACAAGGTGCAAAAGACATAACATGATCTGACTCCTCCCATTTCTTCAGGACCCACTTTGGCAGTTTAGCATGTTGAGAGGTCTTAGTGTAAAAAAATCTTCCAGACACCACAGATAGTCCTCGGGCTAATATGTGTGTCACAAGGACATCCTGTCTTCCCTTTGCCCTTGCTCAAGGAATTTGCAGCACTATTGGGGCGGCAAGTAGGCTGGAGGACATTTTCATGAACATTATGAAGTATTTATCAAGCCACCTGATTCTCAGTTTCATTCTCAGGTTGCTTAGGAGCAGAAATTTGGGAGTATGATTACAGGACTGGAATGGAAAAGTTCACTTGTAAATGCTAACTCTGCAGCACATGATCTGGCCTTTGAGATTGTGAAGCACATGATACAGTAGGTGAGGATTGGTCTTGGGCCAAATGAATCCCTGGTCTAACTAATTTCATCTGCAGACAGCACCATGAAAAAGGCAGCCTCCTTTCTACACATTTTCACATCCTGACTTGGGTCCCAACTGGTGAGAAATGGGTTCTTAGATTCTATGGCATGGGGTTCAATAAGCATGGGGTCCCTAAAATACCCATATTTTTCATTACTTGAACCTAAAAGGCTTTATATCTGCTAAAATAAAATGGATACTTTTTATAGTCATCACAGGCAAAGAAAGTTGAAAACCAGTTTTGTCTTTACAAGTTTTGGGTACCTATTTTTAAA